ATATGCCTCAATGGCTGGCTGTGTTCCTGCGCGCTGGAGATTGAACTCAGGCGCTCATGGATGGTCACAGTGGACACTTCACCGACTGAGTCCTCCCAGCCCACTTGGGGAGGAAAGTCATCAAGCAGGCTCCAGTGTGCACCACTAATAAACACAGTGAACACATTTCGGTAATGCAACACTGACTTTTCTAGTTATTTATTTATTTTTTTAACTATAAAAGAATACGAGGACATATAAAACTAGTGTGATATTTGGTATTGTATTTGAGAATTTGGTATTGTATTTGCACCAGTATCAGGATCAGTGGGCATAGCTGCACTTCTCAGTGAGATCTCCAAGTGCTCATCATACATTTTGGTTCTAATTTTGCTCTTCGTGTGCTCCGTTCTTGCAAATAGTTGTCCAGAAGTGTGGGTGCTGCCAGAAGATGACCACAAGAGATGTGATTGAGAAGCTAGGGCATTTGTTTCTGGAAGTCAGAATCTATAAATGCCTAGTAAAGAGAAATGAATTACATCTTCTCAAGGTAGATGTCAGAATGAAGCTCTATTCTTTGTTTGAAAACTGGCAGGTATCATACTTATGTCAAGTAAAGATGGAATAGAAAATATACCTAAGTATTTTCCTGAAAAATTTCATTGTTCGTAGGATTATGTTTAGCAGAAATGTCAAAATGCATAAAACTATCTTCCTCAATTTGAGTTTGCCATAATTTCAGTTTCATTTCTAATACTGTTACGATTTTCACTGGGAAGTTATGACATAAATTTTGTTTTTGATACCAAAAACAGTTTGATAACATTATAAAACATGAAATCTTTTTAACATTTGGCCTGGACTTAGCCATCTTATTTCAGAAAAGTTAATGAAGTTTTCATAGTCAACATCAGCACTTTTTAGGAATTCTTGATATTGGTGATGATTTAATTTCTTGGCCACTGTAAATCTCTTCCTTGATGATGATTTTCGTGATGTTACCCATTTTCAATGCTTTTGCATATAAATTTTCTTGATGTAATATGCAATTATGCTTCATTAAATATGAGTTTTGGGAAACAGTTGCATATATTAATTTTATAGGTACCTGTTTTATATGTACTATCACCATTAATAATTATGCTAGTTAGGGTTTTTTCTTGTCTTTTTTTTTTTTTTAAATATGTCGACTTGAAGTAAGCTAGGGTCATTTGGAAAGAGGGAAGCTCAGTTGAAGAATTGCCTCCATCACATTAGCCTGTAGGCAAGTCTGTGTGGTTGTCCTCATGATTCATGACTGGTGTGGGAAGACCCAAGTGTGGTCCTGGGTTGTGTAGGAAAGCAAACTGAGCAAGCCACGAGGAACAAGCCCGCCAGATAGCAGCTCTCCTCCATGCTGTCTGCTTCACTTCCGTCTCCCTCTCCCTGTCTTGCTTGAGTTCTTGCCCTGGTGTCCCTACATGATGGACTGCCATCCGCAAGATGAAACCAATCCTTTCTTCCCTAAGTGACTCTTGCTCACAGTGTTTGTCACGGCACCGGAAAGCTAACTAGGAGCATAACTAGACTAGTTATGTTGACAGTAGACATAGAAAATCATTTTAACACATTTGTTCATACATTTCTCGACTTAGTTGTGCCTCTTTTTCTTTAAGGTAGAGTGATCTTCATTTATTTAGGAAACGTGAGAGCGTTCCTTTACTAGAGGACATTGTCACAGCAGCAGGAATGTTCGAGATGGATGTGCCCTCCAGCCCTCCCCTCCTTTTTCTGATCTTGTTTGGTGTTTTACACGAGTCCTTCCGGCAGCTTGTCTTCACTTACCTCTATGCTCTCCTCGGCTGTTTTTGGGGTGACTGTCGTACACAATATTACTTTACAGTAGTCCCAGTGCTACCTGTTTCCTTTGTTTTTATTTCTCCCCAGTCAGTTTCAGAGATAGCCGCATTTTCCCAAAGAGAGTGCAGTTTCCCATTTCTTTAGTGACAAGGGTTGAGAGAGTTAATATCAGGAAAGGGTGAGTCAAGAAAGGATGAGGAGGAAAGTGTGGGTCACAGACAGGAGAAACAGAGAGAACCTTGTTGAGTCAGTGTAGTGACAGAAAGAACAACCATCCATGAGAGAAGCTAAGACACAATTGAAGTACAAAGTGTAAAATGTAAAAAAACAATAGATGAAACAGAAGATATTTAGTGTTTCTATCTAGTTGGGGTGCCTTGGCTTGTCCTTTCCCTGGGATTGACTTTTGTATTATTCTCTAAGGTGGGGCCGAGCCTGATTGTCTCAGCAATTCAGCTTTCCCACGTTAGAAGACTTCCTGTGTAGGAGGTCAACTTTTAGCCAGATTTCCCAGGCCGAGCTCCTCCTTCCCACCTGTCAATTACAGCCTTGTCTCTGGTGCTTTGGGGGCACCCGTGGGGCTCTGCGCTGAGGCCGTGAGGGAGTGTGGGGCTTGCCTGCCTGTGCTTCCTTTGTGTCTGGGAGGTCTCTTCCTGGTGTGCTCCTCAGAAGACTGCAAGTGTTTCTGCAATACACTTTCCACAACCCCTTGTATCTTGCCAAGGCAATGGTGTAGTGTGTTGCCTTTCCCAGGACTTGTCTCCCCAGTGCCCATTGAGAACCAGAGCTTCAGAACTCTGTTCCAGTTTTCTGTCCGCATTTCCACAGCCTGCCAGGCTCTAGCTGTCTGTCCACACATGGAACCCTGGTTAAATTTCTGACATTCTGACAGTCTCTCTATGCCCTCTAGCTCCCAACCGACCCTTTCCATAGCTTTTGGTTTAAAGTCAGCTGGATCTGTTGCTGATCCTGACACTACCATGGTGCCAGGAGCTTATGGTGAGGGCTGCTCACCTGATGGTGGATGGAGTGACAGAGAGCTGTGTCAGTGGCCCCTCTCCCGTTCATCCATCTGAGCCCTCTGAATTACGAGTATTGTCCACACTCAGGGCAGTCGTTCAGTTCTAGTAAGGTATCTAGTAATGTCCTCCCGAGAGGTGCCTCACTAATCTTACAGTGCTGCTTCATTCCGTTGAGTTGACATGACGAGCTATTGCACACTATAAAACGAACATATATTTGATTGAAAGAGAAGATTTAACCTATGTTCTTGATGTAATTTTGTAATGAAAAATCCTAGGTTTTTGTGTAAATTTTATTTACTAGTTTTTGGTCTTCTTTTGAGAAGATAGATGCATTTCTCAAGACAGTTCTTAGTCATTCATGGAAAGTCCAATTTTATCAGTCTTTTCACTACCCTGTGTAAGATCCTTCTCAGTCTTTAATATTCAGTCCTATTACATCTGCATACCTGCAGCTATGGATTGGTCCAGTCTGCTCTTCATTCCCTGGAAATTGTGAAAAGAGTGTACAGATGTAGGTCTGTGGGGTGACTAATTTGTCTTTAATGAGGGAGCATAAGTGAGTAATGCTAATCCCAAGGGTGATTCACTAAGGGTGCCACATGAGGTGGGAGGTTTTGTTGTTGAGTGTGTCTAGTTACTCACATCATATCCACTAGGAATTGACTGTCTGTTTATGAATCAGTTCCTGACCAGGATTTGGATCATATAAAAATCTTATCTCAGTAAGAGAGCCGACTCGGTTTTGGATGCCGAAGGACTGCAGACTTGAAAGAGAAGACTTGATTGGGTTCTAGTCACTGCTCACACAGTGTTTGCTTGACTTTGTCCTCATCATACTGTAGTCATGTGAGGAACCTATGGGAGCATGAATATGAATGTTTTAGTTTAATACACAGTGTTTAGTAATGTGAGCTTATGAGACTGACTATGTTACCCCCTCTAGTTCTTTTAGGCATAAATAAAATTAATTACTAAGCCTTTAAAAATTCATTTATAAAATCTCGTGTTTTATTTAAAATATTTAGCCTTTACTTCAATTTATTCTTAAAAATTAACTAAGCCAGGTGGTAGTGACGCAGGCCTTTAATCCCAGCACTCAGGAGGCAGAGGCAGGTGGATCTTTGAGTTCAAGGCCAGCCTGGTCTACAGAGTGAGTTCCAAGACAGGCTCCAAAGCTACAGAGAAACCCTGTCTTGAAAAACCAACTAAACCAAACCAAACAAAAACAAAACCAAAACCCCCAAACAGCAACAACAACAACAACAACTAAGAAGTAAAATAGAAATTATTTATTTTTAGTTAATATTACCTTATTTACTATGGTACCTTAAAGTAAGAATATGTAGCAAAACTTGTGATTAAAACATTGTTTTAAAGAGCACCAGAGATTTAGTCAAAGAACAGTTTATCTGGGGCTGAGGTTGTAGCTTAGTAGTAGTGTGACTGTAGTAGTGTGACTGTAGTAGTGTGACTGCCTACCGTGTGTGTG